GTGGGCTGCCCAGCTGCCGGCTCTGCCAGCTCCTCCCCAGCTCTTCTGTCAGTCAGAAGTGCAGTCCAGGGGCCCATGCTGTGGCACAGTGGGCTAAGCCTACACCTGTGGTGCCGACACCCCATATGGGCGCCGGTTAGTGTCTCAGCTGCTCCTCTTCCAGTCCAGCTCTCTGCTGTGGCCTGGGAAAGCAGTAGAAGATAGCCTAAGTGCTTGGGCCCTTGCACCCATGTGGGAGACCAGGAAGAAGCTCCTGGCTGCTGACTTTGGATCGGCCCAGCTCTGACCATTGTGACCTTTTGGGGAGTGAACCAGCGGATGGAAGACCTTTCTCCGTCTCCCCCTCTCTCTGTCTGTAACTCTACCTCTCAAATAAATAAATACATAAATATCTTAAAAAAAAAAAAAAAAAAAAAAAAAGAACTGCAGCTCAGCACTGTGGCCAGAGGAGATGGCTGGATAATGCGCCATCCCACGCTTCTGTTCTTGACCAGCGTCTCATGCAAGTCATCTATCTGAATCTATTCTCCAAGCTCCACCTCAAGAAACATGAGTCACAGAGGAAGCAAGAATTATTACAAGGTTTTTCTAGGCTACTCAACATACTGTTTTATCCTTAAAAGACAGGAAAGCTCAACCTTAAGAAGTTAAAGCAAAAGCAAACAAGGTTAAAAAAAAAGTCATACTTGGTAAGCAGAAACATCTCCCAAAGCAACTCCATTTAAGGTCTGGTATTTTAATTAAAGAACTTAGCATAAACCATTCGCTGAGTAGGAATTATTTCTAAGGAACCAAAACACTTTTATTGATTTCTCCACTTTAGCCCATTCCCACACAGAAACACCTCTTCAGGTACAAATCTTACTTGTTAACATCTCTCTATGGAACACAGCCCTTGCTGCAGGCCACGCGGTCAATGTGCACATAGCGTCACACCTCTCTTTTCTCTCTTTTGGGTTCCAGAGAAACAAACCAAGGTGTCATAAAAGCATTTCAAAGAATCGCTGCCAAGAAAGCCACCTCCCAGACTGCAGCTGATGCTGCTCTGAGCAAGAACTGGCCAAACCGTCAACAGGGAACAAAGCTGGATTACAAATCCCGTCTTTCATCGTGTGCACATACACACACATGCACACACACATAATTTGAGTTATCTTTATTTAGCCTTCTAGTGGCAGGCATCCCAATTACTTGAAAGCAATCAAAGGGCAATAATTAAAATTCATTTACTTGCCTATAGAAAACACCCAGAGCAAGCTGTGACAAAGCTAAGGTAACCAAGCATCTGTGGGTTACAGTTTAATCCCTTTTAAAGTTTCATGGCGTTCTGCCTTGGACAGGAGGCCTATCATTAAAGAACGTTTAGCTGGGACTTCTGTTCTTTCATTTCATAAATGTAAAATACCCAGCTTTACTTAGACCCAAAGATACTCTGTCTCCTACTGGCATTTTTATGCACACACCCCAGAGATAAAACAAAGCTGGGAAGAATCTGCTGGTGCAAAAATGAGACATCGAATCCATGCCTGGCTCAGGTGCTTGCTATTATAAACTATGACTAAGAGACACGAATTTCTCTATGATGCAACTCTCAAGAGAGGCAGCATTTTCTCCAGGCCTCTCTTAAACCTGCTCGTTCGCCAGTGACTAATGCTCTCTAGAGCGGCTCTGTGCTGCTCAAATTTCATCAGGCAGCTTTGTCCTTGATAGCTCTGCCTGGACCACAAAAGCCTCCAAACCTGTGGAGGACAGCCCCAGACGATTCAGTGCGTGAAGGCTGAGGATGCCCCTGCCAGCACTGAGAGCCATCTTTTGAGCTCCTCACTGCATTTTATTATCTCGAGGAATAAGCACTTAATGACCATTCAAAAAAAAAATGTTTCTACTCTTGGAACAGCAAAGTCAGGGGGGACTATGAGAAAAGTAACTGCCAGTCAGGTCACTCTTCGACCACCCCTTGTCAGCTTAGAAGTAGAAACGAGTTTGACAACAAACACGTTGCGTGAGACCACAATTAAGTGGATTTTCCCATGAACTACTTTCTGCACCTTTAAAAAGAACGGAAAACCTCAGGTTCGTGATTTGCATCCAGGACTTAATTTATAAAACAAACCCAAAAGCTGTCAGATACTGTCTAGCGAACAGATGCTTGGTCCAACATCATATATGTCAGTTAAACTTAATTTTCAGCTAGAAGGTTTGCAAAGCTGTAAAAGCAGGAAGAAATGTGGGGTGGAATTTTGTTCCGTCAATCTCACCTGCAAAGGAGTAGAAGCACTTTAGGAATCATTTCAATAAGGAACAAAACAAGTTTTCTGGGTTAGCTCTGACTTGTCACAAGTAACTACTTGCAAAATCTGCGGGCTCTGGCTGAGGCTGTCCCAGACTTGGGTGATCCGAATCAAATACGCGCTTCAGAACGGACGCCCGAGCCCCGCGAGACACTTACGGTTATCAGCCTGGAAATCTGGGACAAACTGTTCATCATCAGGAACTTGTGCTGCAAAAGAGATGTTCATTTTAGACCGTGGATTTTTTTTTTTTTATTAAAAAGCACAGTGAAATGCTTTAGATGAAAAATAGAACAGCCAAGAAACTTGCCTTCAGCTAACCAAGCCTCTTGAAGTTGACTGAGATCTTGAAACAACTCTGGAATTGAAAACAGGAGACCCCAGAATGAGGATCTTTCTTCTGCTTGGGAGAAGGTGGGGGGTTGGCGGGGGAGCGTGACTGGAGGAAGCCACAACACAGGAGGGGTGTGCTTCACTACCTTCAGAATCGTGAGCCAGATCTGTGTCCAGAAACTTCCTCTTTCTGTCAATCACAGGCCGCCCTCGGCATTCCTCTGATCGGGATTTCTGAAAGAGGCCAGAACACCCGAGTGTGGTACACAGGTCAAAGGGGGTCGACCCGTTGAAGCAGCATGGAGAAGACTCATCACTGAGCAGGGAGGACGAGACAAACCAAACGTCACGTGGACTTACCCCTGGGACCATAAAAGGGACTTGCTGATCATAAAATCCATCCATGATGCTTCCAACGTCTCTAATGCCGCTTTGAAAGGTTTCAGCATTGAGTAATTTCTGGGGCAAAGGAAATCCTCCTGTAACAGGAATTTGGGAGATCTTCAACTGCGGGGCAGGGAGAGAAACGAAGCAATTTTACACTACTTTTTCCTTTAGGGCCTGTGCCAAATCACTACCGTTTTCTGAAGTACTTGAAAGCCCACTCAAGGCGTAAGTTATACAGACCAATGGCAGGCTTGATTAACGGTATCAAAGCTGCACCACGGACTTAATGCCATTTACTCAAGCACCATTTCCTTTCTTTTCTCTCTCCCTCTCTCTCATCATCATCGTCAAGGTTCTGGTACTGCCTGTCCCCCCATCAGAAAAAGAAAAAGACCTTATTTCATTATTAAAGGGTGATTTCAAATTTCTCTCATATGCAAGATCCCCCAGGGCAGGGTTTTAAAAGGAGATAATTTAATTTTTGATAGTGCAGTGACAGGAAGTAGAGAAACTGGGTTTAAGTATTCCAAATTATTGGCAATTAACACCCTGACATACATGGTGTTTCTAAAAGTATTTTGTAGGTCAGTGGTAAAATACTATATATAGTTCCAGGAATAAAGTTGATCAGAGGTAAGCTCTTCACACACAATTCTTTATTTAAAATCTAAACCTTCTGTCCAAACAGGTGTACCTGTAGTGTCTATAATATCACAAACTGTCTCCATGGTAACTTATCTGTGATATCACCAACTTCTGACAGAATAAAAGTCTGTGAAAAGTAATAAACGAAACTAAATTCCATTACACATATTTTAAGTGCATCTGTGCCAAAAGTCTTTTAAAAAAATGCTTAAAGCGAAACATCCATGGCAGAACATTCAGTTTGTCTCTTACAGTGAAGTCAATTTCCCCAGACATATCAACAAAGAAATAAATAAAACTCATTTCAGCACTGGTGAATGTTTAGCACTGCGAAGAGAGGTTAAGAATCAGAAGGGAGGCGAGAGAACTTTCTCTAATTTTGGAGGAACAAAGTGATAGTAATTTTAGAAAGGTTCCAGCTTCTGGAACTCCGTTTTATTCTCCATATGAAAACACAGGTTCTTACAAAATGGGGGAATGCATTAATTTCACTCAGCCTAGCTCTAGCAAGGCAGTAAGGGTTTCTTTTGTTTAATTTGTACACGAATTTTAAACAGGGAACTTTTTTATTCCCAGCGGGCAATTCCATCCAATCTGTTTTTCACACTGCGTGGAGCATCTCAAATTTTCGAAAGTGAGCAGGATACCAGAGAACCCTTCACCGCCAGCCTCCTCCTCAGCACGCTGGCCCAAGTAATCAGATATTTTCAAAGTCAAAAGAAAGAGAGCAAAACAGCACACAGTTTATAACTTCCTAGAAAAACACCCGGGGCCAGCCTGCCCGCCTGCCTTCCAAACAGCGCAAAAGAGTTCAGGATAAAGCCTCGTTCTCACATGTCACCAACCCGTACACAAAACGCGAGAAATCTCAGAAGTGAGCGAAGGGGCAACCAGAAAGAGCTCTCTGTCTCCGGCGGAAAATCTGCCTGGTTAAATCGTGGCTTTAGAAATTCTGTCAGCGTCTATTGGGGTGGGGCAGGACACCAGAGGGGAGACACTTTCAGAATATCACGATAAAATACTTCTCCCTGAAGGGCAAATCTATTTGTAAAGATGAAATTAAGAGGGGAAAGAAAAAATAAAAAAGACCTGCCATGAGCGAACCACAAAAAGCAGCGTCGAGTTGAAAGCAGCCTCCGGAGTTCAAGGGCTAGCAACGCCGTGTTCAAAGTATCTGCTATGCGCCCGAAGGGAAGGCTCGAGTCCATCCAGGAGTGTAAGCCACTTCCTTTGCGCTCCCCCTCCCGCGCCCCCGCCCCGCGGCGCCCCCAGGAAAACTTTAACTCAGCGCTGCGGCGCGGCCGAGCCCCTCCCCCGCGGCGCGCAGCGGGCCCGGTTTTATGAATGGAGAGCGAGCCGCGGCCGCCACCTCAGGTAGAGGCTGTAACTGGATCCCTCGCGCTGGGCCCCATTCACAAAACAAGACACACTTCCACCCAATTCCCAGCCTTCCCCATTCATGAAAACTCCTTCAGCTGCGCCCCCACCCCCACTCCCAACGCACGCCCAGCCTCCGACGCAGGCCCCTCACCCCAGCGTTTTAGGAAGAGAGCTCAATGCTTCATTCACAAAAAGGGAAAGGGGGAGAGGGAAGGAAAAAAAAAAAAAGCCGCAGGGAGCAGCGAGCCAACGAAAGAAACCCGCTTCATTCATCAAGTCGCCGACATTCATAAAACGAGGTGCTGCGCCGGGCGCTACCAAGCGCCTCCAACCCACCCCCCCAGATCCACACATCGCTCTTCGGCACCCCCTCCTCGACCGGGAGTTCCGTTCCCCCCAGAGGCCCGGCTCGTCCGAAGACTCGGCCCGTCTCCTAATCCAGCCCGAGGCTCCAGCATCGCTCCATCCCCCTCCGCACCCGCTTCCCCCACACCCTCCGCAGGCCGCTGCTCGGGGGCTCCCCGATTTTCCTCGGGAGTCGCTGCGCAGCCCGACGCCCTCGGCTTACTGATGATGGGGGCAGACGGGGCTGAGCGTCCACTTTCCACAGCCTGAAACTTGCAAGGCCTGCAGAAGTTCCTGGCCGACCCCCACCCCGAAGGCTACACCCTCCGGTGTCACTAACCTTCTCTGGGTGTTGGGGGGGCAGTGGCCCTCACGCACTCCTCCCCCACCCCACCCCCCAGCTGCAAAGCTCCGCCAAGCGTCTCTTCTCGCGAGCCTCCAAGTCCCCTCGGGGCTCAGATCTCCAGAGACTGCAAAGCTCCGCAACTCGGCGCTCCCCATCTCCACCTTGAAGCCCCCGCACCTCGCGCTCCCGCGCGCCTCCCCAGCGACGTGCGGAACCCGCTCCTCTCGCGCTCCGGAACCGTTAGCCGCCCCCGCCCGACGCCTCCCTGGAACCGAACCGGACCGGGCCGCGGGGGACGGCGGTGGGGGGTTGTCGGTCAGCCAGCCCCGGGGGACTCACCCCAGATGTGCACCCCGAGTTTGAGGATGGAGGAACAGCCCGCGAACTCTCGCCAGCTGGGCCGTTCGGACGCGTTACAGGACACCCCCTCCGATGCCCCCCTGTCCCCGCAACGCCCCCACACCTGAGGCTGCCGCTCTCCTCCCCTTGCAGCGGCCCGGGCGGCGCAGGCGCGCTCACGCACGCGCGCACCGGGCCTGGGCGCCTGGACGAATGGCTGGGCCGAACCGCTCCGGAGACTGAACCGCTCCGCACACCAGCGGCTGGACTCTGCGCCGCAGCTGCCAACCAGGCTGGAGCGGCTGGCCCGGCCCCCAGCGGCCCACTGCTTCGCCCGCCGCCATTGGCCTGCGGCCTTAACCCACCCTTGTTCCCATTGGCCCGAGGCCGTTCCCGCGGCTGTCCATCACCTCTTGTTTACCCTGTCTTCGGGCAAATCCAGCCGAGCCGCCCCATCAACTCCAGCTCCCATTGGCCAACGGTACGTCTCTCTCCACCCCACTCTGGGGTCTGTTTTACATAATTTATGCACCGGGGGCCGTTAGCCAATCAGCACAGGCTTGTTTATGTAATGAATGTAAGGACGTTTTTCATTCATAAAAAACGCGACCTGAGGGGGAAGCTTAGCTGAGTCAGTGAAGCACTTAAAGGGGCAGAGGCCGGGCGGAGCCGCCGTTACTTCCCACTTTGCCGAAGCTCGGCTCTTTCCCCTTCCCCACTCACCCCCACTTCTCCCTCCGGCCTGGATTGGGTCGCTTGGCGCCAGACCATCGCAGCTGCAGCACCCAGCGAAGTTATGGTTTTAGAATCAGGCGAGAGGAATTCGTCATTACACACACACACACACACACACACACACACTGAAACTCGCCGACCAAGCCGGGCGTCGGGCCCACAGAAACACGGAGAACGGAAACCGAGCCCTCTAATCTCAGCCACCATTAGGAGAGGCCTGCGTTTCCAGTGGGAAGAAGCAGCAGCGTCCATTGAGTCTGGGTCTCGAACAGATTTTAGTGACTGGCTCATGCTGGCAAGGCCCAAGGCCCGAGCAAACCCCACTGGCTCCGGGTGGGTGGGTTCTGGAGCCGAGGTGAGGGAGGGTCGGGGCTCTCACACGTCCTCTCCGGAGTCCGCTCCCGTCGGTTCCCCCACCCGGAAACGGATCACTCCGAGGCTGGCACGCAGCTCGGCCGCCTGCTTTCCGTTCGAGCGTTGACTGCAAGATGGTGTGTTTGCGAATCAGATCCCTGCAGCTGGGAAGCACGAGAGGCGGTCCTGCTCGCTCCACGACAGAGCACTAAGTGCCGTCGCCGAGAATTTTCACTGGGAGTTCCAAGGCGCAAACCAAAAGCACCCTACTGCCCCGGCGCCCCCTGCCCCGTCCCGGGGAGGCCTCGGCGGCGCCGTCCTCTCCCGCTGGATGCTGGGGCTCGCGAGGAGCTCCTGTGTGCTCGCTCTGTCCGTGCGCCCTGGCACTGGGCCCGTGTGCCTGCGGCGCAGAGGAGCCAGCCCCTACAAAAGGGACGCCTAGAGTAGCCAGCCCTGCGGCTGCCCCTCACCCCCCCCACCCCACCCGTGGAGAATGCAGTGTGGAGGATCGCTCTCCGTCTCAAAAAAAATAAAATAAAAAAAAGGCTTTAAAGTCCAACTGTTTCCACCTTCTTGCCTGCCTCCACTTGTGTAACTTACACAGAGTGGGCGCTGGGCATGCTGCCTTTAGCCCTTGAATTATCTATTTGGCTGCACCTAAGGAACCTGGGGCACCAGTGTTGAGTCCTGGGCTCTGTACTGACCAGGCATGAGCTGCTGACTCTGCGGGACACTGGCCTGGGCCTGAGCTGACCCGTGGGAAAGTACTTCCGAACTTTTAACGAGAAGTTCCCTGACATTTGATTTCCTGGTTGAGCATTTTGCTTCCAAGTCCAGTTTTCCCTTAATGCCTTTTCTCATTTCCCACATGGCACCCATCCTGTCGTTTTTTGCCCAGAGCTTTTTTTTTTTTTTTAAAGATTTATTTATTTGAAAGGCAGAGTTACACAGAGAGAGAAAGAGAGGCAGAGAGAGAGAGAGAGAGAGTCTTCCATCTGATGGTTCACTCCCCAATTGGCTGCAACCGCCAGAGCTGCACGAATCTGAAGCCAGGAGCCAGGAGCCTCTTCCGGGTCTCCCACATGGGTGCAGGGGCTCAAGGACTTGGGCCATCTTCTACTGCTTTCCCAGGCCATAGCAGAGAGCTGGATTGAAGTGGAGCAGCCAGGACTGGAACCGGCGCCCATATGGGATGCAGGCATCACAGGCAGCGCTTTACCCACTACGCCACAGCACCGGCACTGCTTTTGCCCTGGTCCAGTGGTGCTCCCAGGTTGTTGATGACATCTTCTAGGGCTCTAACTCCCCAGCCAGCTGCAAGGTCCAGGTGGGCTCCCAGATCCTCCTCCTCCCCAGCTCTGCCCACCCCAAGCCCTCTCTAGGCTCTCTGATCCAGGCCCCAACCCTCCACCAGGCTTGTGTTCCCAGGGGGCCACATGTCCCTCACCATATGAACAATACCACTTCGATCCCATTTTCTATCTTTAGCCACAGGAAATCAGTGCCAGAGACTTCCTCCACCGGGCTGGACTTGATGGCTAGAGTGGGGCTCCTGTGACCTTTGCCTTAAGCCTCTGCTCTCAGACACAGCTTGGGAAGAGAAGTTGGCTGCCTGGGCTGAGGAGTGATAGTGGCTGCACTGGGAGCAGAGGAGGAGTTGAGTGACAGCTTTGTATCAGAACGTTGTCATAGGCACAAGATCATGTGCAGGAATGTATGCCAACATAGGACTGTTGCCAGTTAATTATTTAGTCACCCAGTAGACATTTGTTTTGTACTGAATACCCAGCTAGACCCTGTGCTAGGCAAAAAGAACACAGAGATGACTAAGACCCCGTCTAAGAGCCGGTGCTGTGGCACAGTGGGTTAAAGCCCCAGTCTGCAGTACTGGCATCCCATATGGGCACTGGTTCGAGTCCCAGCCGCTCCACTTCCGATCCAGCTCTCTGCTGTGGCCTGGGAAAGCAGTAGAAGATGGACCAAGTCTTTGGGTCCCTGAACCCATGTGGGAGACCAGAAGAAGCTACTGGCTCCTGGCTCCTGGCTCCTGGCTCCTGGCTTTGAATCAGCATAGCTCCAGCTGTTGTGGCCAATTGGGGAGGGAACCAGTGGATGGAAGACCTCTCTCTCTCTGCCTCTGCCTCTTTGTGACTCTGCCTTTCAAAAAGCTAAATAAATCTTTAAAAAAAAAATACCTGGTCTTAGCCTCACCCTTGGAGGAACCTGCAGTTGTCCATTATATAATTTCAGCACTTGAGGTTTGCTGAGCGCTTAATAGATGACTTATGCATACTATCCACTATTCTGAACAGACTGTCTCATTTAACTCTCAACAATCATAGTGCCAAATTGGTCAGTGTTATTAATATCTCTGTAGATGGGAAACAGACACAGAGAGATTAATCACCAGTGGTCATAGAGCCAGTACAGAGGTTGCTGGAACTGGGTAAGAACCCAGGTCCTCACACCCCCACCCGTATGTGGGGACTGAGAACATATCTCTGTGGCCTGGCCAGTCACTGGGATTCACCCTCTGCACCTAGAGGCACAGGGAGGCAGTTTAGCTCAGTGTAGAGCCAGGAAGGACTTTGGAATGTTTGGGGTGGCCCTGCAGAGAAATACTGTAGCTCTGATGAGCCTCCTGTCATAGGAGGCACTCACACGGAAAGATTTAGGGAGAGTGCGGAGGACGATGAGCTCTGAGGATGGTTCCAGCTCTCAGAGTCTCTGGTTCTGGGAATTCAGAGCTTTGTGTCAGACAGGGAAGTCCGGCCCTGGGCACAGTTTGTGATGGCCTTTCTCGTCGGGTCGGCTCCTAGGCCCAGACTGATTTTTGTCATTAACTCTTTCTGGATGTCTTATCTCTCTCTCCTTTCTTCTTTTCTTCTGCTTCTCTTTATGATCCACCTCCTGGACCCCCAGTCCCAGCCCACTACCCTTCTCTCTATAAGTGTTCTTTTTTTTTTTTTTTAAGATTTATTTAATTTATTTGAAAGAGAGAGGTAGAGAGAGGTAGAGACAGAGAGAGAGGTCTTTCATCCACTGCTTCACTCCCCAGATGGCTGCAATGGCCGGAGCTGTGCTGATCCAAAGCCAGGAGCCAGGAGCTTCCTCTGGGTCTCCCACGTGGGTTCAGGAGCCCAAGGACTTGGGCTATCTTCCACTGCTCTCCCAGGCCACAGCAGAGAGCTGGATGAGAAGAGGAGCAGCTGGGACTAGAACCGGTGCCCATATGGGATGCTGGCACTTCCAGCCAGGGCTTTTAACCTGCTGCGCCATGGCACCAGCCCCTCTATAAGTGTTAAGGGTCGGGGCTGACACTGTGGCATAGCAGGCTTAGTGTCTGCCTGCGGCACCAGCATCCCACATGGCTGCCAGTTCATGTTCTGGCTGCTCCACTTCCGATCCAGCTCCCTGCTGATGCACCTGGGAAAGTGGTAGAAGATGGCCCAAGTCCTTGGGCCCCTGCATCCATGTGAGAGACCCAGAGGAAGCTCCGGGCCTGGCCCAGCCCTGGCCATTTGGGGAGTGAACCAGAGTATGGAAAGTTTCTCTCTCTCTCTCCCCCACTTCTGTCTCTGTTTCTCTGCCTCAAGTTAAGGGTCAGTGTACAGAGGCTCTTTGTCTAGAGCCTTGAGTCTTTCCTTGTACGAACATTATTCATGCTAGAAGTTGGGTCGAGCATATGTTCTAGAAGCATTGTTCCCTATCCTCTAGGACAGAAACAGGATTGGAAAATACTCCAGAATTCTCCACTGGTGTTGTCCTCCGGTGACAGCAGAACCCACGTAATCATAATAAGAAAACTTGACCCTTTCTTTAAACTCAATTCACAGTGTGTCTTCAGAAACAACATGGAAGCCGGGGAAAAAAAGAAGTGCCTTATCCCAAGCCTGACAACTTCAGTGTCCATTTATAGGACTGTTTTTAGAGTTTCCCCCTGAAGTGTCCAAAGAAAGTTGAGGCTGGCGTTGTGACGTAACAGGTAAAGCTGTTGCCTGCAGTGCCGGAATCCCACATGGATGCCAGTTCATGTTCCAGCTGCTCCATTTCCAAACCAGATCCCTGCTAATGCACCTGGGAAAGCAGTGGAAGATGGCTCAAGTGCTTGGGCCCCTGCACCCACGTGGGAGACCTGGAGGAAGCTCCGGGCTCCTGGCTTCAGCCTGGCCCAATGTCTCTTTAAACAAATAGGGGCTACAGTGCCTCCAGCACTCCTTATAGCCAGGGAATAGTAACAGAACTCAAAATGAGCCAGACAGTCTGCTGAACACCTACATTAGCATAGCTGGGCCCAAAGACCGCCCTCTGAGGGAGGTGCTGTTGTCACCCATTTTTCATAGATGAGGAGGCTTAGGTACAGAAAGGCTTGATAAACAATGACTCCAGGTC